CAGGAATCCATTTGATCTTTTTCTTTTTTCGCTTCATGGGTTTGAAATTGAAGTTTATATAATATGTATATTGCAGATACAATTATATATGTTTGCATGTATGGGTTGTTACATTCAGTGTTATAGATTCAGGGTGATACATTTGGATAATAAATGTAATAAAAGTGATGGCTTTTATTTTATTGTCGAATGTTATGTTTCTCGTCCTTAATCTTTTATAACCACAAAAAAATATTATTATTATTATTATTATTGTTGTTGTTGTTGTTGTTTCAATCTAATATTTTTTTTTCAACTGTTAAATTTATGCCTAAAATACTGAAACCCTAGTTAGGATTCAAATTGATGGCAAAGTTCCCTAAACCCTAGAGTTATTATATTTTTTTTGGGTCTAATTATATATATTGTAATTATTATTTGTGAAGATTTGGTGGATAAGTATAAGTATAAGTTGGTCTACGTGCTATATCCAACGCTAAATATAGGAACAAGAATCTGTAAGGACAAAGCTAACCAGATATGGTCACTGGTCGGTCAGTCTCAGACATGCACGTCACTTGTGGTGCGGAGGCTATATATATATATATGTTCTTTTATTTCTTTATTTTATTTTTGGTAAAGTAACGAACCCACCTCCACTTGCGGATATTACTTCTATATCTTTCCAATAAATTTTTTTTTTGCTGTCAGCATTTTCGAAATAACAATTTTGGAAGGGATAAAATAAAAATACATGTAGCCCATATATGTATATATATGTTTCAATTTTTTTTTTTGAAGAATATCAATTTTTAGAATTTTAATACAATTTATATTTTAAAGAAAAAAATATGCATTTATCTTCCAAAAAAATAAAAGTCAATGCGGTTCTTTTATTAAATACATTCGTTCGTGTCTAAAAAATTATTTACATTATTCAGTTTTATAATATTCTCATGACTGTTTTTGGCGTGTGATTAATTTCATCCGAAAGAAAGATCTCGTGGATCATCATCCATCACAAAGAAGAGAGAAATCTGATAACGAGACAAAAAAAAAACTGATTATGAATTCGCAAAACATAGTTAGTGATTCATTAATCGCGATTTCTTTTGTACTGTATATGAAATCATTGCTTAATCAATGACCATTAACAAAAACAAAGAAATTAATCAGTCTTATTCAAAACCAAAAAACGAACCAAAGAATGACACCCAAAAAAAAAGAGAGAAGAAAAGGGGGACATCCGTACGAAACCTTCAGCTCAGCCATTGATATGTAACTTTCTCATCTCCTGCTCTGTTTTCTCATGCGCCCTGAGTTTCAGCCATGGATGTTGCAGGCATTCTTGAGCAGAGGGTCGTTTCTCGGGTGCGAAATCTAGGATCGGACTGAGGAACTCTGCGAATTCCCGGGCTTCCGGTTCTGGAAACCTGTATTTATCGATCAGTAAACGTTCCAGTGTCCAGTATTTCAACCTTCGGATCCTCTTAAGGTCGCCATGTCTGTCGAAGAAATCCTTGGACCGAGCACCTCCAATGGCGATCTGCTTCAACGAGACATGTTAACGAATTTGGCATTACAATGGCTGGTTACATCTGTCTCTAGCCGAGAGCAACAGAGCATAAGAAAAAAGGTTTCAGGGGGAAGCCGAGATACCTTTCGAGGCATTTTCCCAAGGAGTTCCATCATACGAGCTAGGTGGTCCTCGTCTTCGCTGTAACCATTCCCGTCTTTCGGAGCAAATAGCATATCGCCTGTGGAAAGCTCGAAGGCAATACAACCAAATGACCACATATCGACGGAGAAAGAGTAACCCGACTGGAGAATTACTTCAGGCGCTCTGTACTGTCTCGTCTGAATCTCTTCCGCAAATTTCTTATCGGCCCAACATGCATTCCCAAAGTCCACGACTTTGCATCTCATATCAATCCCATCCATATTTCTTCCGGCCTTTGATGGAACTGCTTCAACTGTACCTACCATGGAACCCCTTCTTTCCGATATGTTGGCAACTGCCCTTCTCGCTCTCCTCTTCAGCTTCTTCTCAATCAGATTCATAGTCGTCCCACCACCTCCGTTTAGGTTTCCCTCTGGCCTTTCTAATATTGGTGTCAGTCCAGATCTGACGGGATCCTTGGCGGTGTCAATGGTGGAACAGAGAAGGATGTTTTCTGGTTTCAAGTCAGTGTGAATCATACCGAGTTCACGGTGCATATAATCTAGACTCGTGAGTATACATCTGCATATCTCCCGAACTTTATTCAATTCCAGTCCCTCGTAATGGTTATATTTGATCAGCCGGAGCAAGCTATCACCGAGAAATTCTAGTACCATGCATAAATGCTGTCCGTTAGGACCTGTATGCTTAAAGTGGTCAATCAAATGAACAACACACTTGGAATTGTCGGGGTCCCCGCCAGCAATAGCTGAAAGGAGTTCGATTTCGTGAAGTGCAGCTTGAGCAAATTGCTGGGCACTTTTCTGAATCTTCAGAGCAACGTAACTCTGCAAAATACATTTCACAAGAAGTTTGATATAAGCTGCTCGATGAGAAAATGGAAAAAACAAAAAAGTAGTCAAGCTGATGAAAGAACACAAAAGGAGGAGATAGCATATGACTAGGAGCTTCAATCAAGATATTAGTTCCAAATTTGGTGATGGGCATTTATGAAATATCATCTCTAACCGATACCGATCCTCCTAATTCTCCCTTTATCCACGTTCAATTCCCGGAAAGATGGAGAAAGTTCTCTCCCAACAACAATGTAAGGTAGATGGTACCCTAAAGGAATCCTTCCAACTTAGATGTAGAAACCCAAACCCAAACCCAAACCCAACAACGACAGGATCTCGAAAGAGCAAACACCAAAATTCAGCTTTCCTTGAGGAATTACCCACAAACAGACAATGGCTTTCTTCCTTACCCGAACAGCTAAGCTGGAAAATAACAGAACAAATTCCCAAATCTAGAATCATGATTCACCAGATTCAGGATTTTGCTTTTCCACAACATTAATTCATGAGAAGAAGAAAACGAATTGGCAAACCCAAGATCTTGCACCAAAATCCAGAGCATTGAATCCTGCAAGATGCGATTTTAGTGAAAAAAACACTTTTTTTCCCCACAGCAGTGTTTGAGTCATTTGATCCGATTTCGTTTTTGACACAGGAGCTCTCAGATAGATCATTACTAAGGAAAAAAAAAACAGATCAGAATCCGCACAAAAAGATCCAGAGAAATCGAACACATATAGGGTTGACCATAAGAAATCAAACTCTGCATAGAATCAGTCTATCACAAAGATCTCAAGGAACAGAGAAAGGAAGAGAAACATACGGAGGTGCGAGTGTCGTAGGCAAGCCAAACGGTGGAGAACTCGCCCCAACCAAGCTTTCTCTGGGCGATGTAACGGCCTCCGGCGAACGGATCGCCGAGTCTGACGGCGTGATATCCACCTTTACGGTACGAATCGAATCCCTCATCGTCTTCCTCTGATCCAGACGAGGATGAACACGACATATCTGTCTGTCTCTTTGCCTGTCGGAATTCAACCGCTTTGCTTGTTTTCTGTCGATTCGATCGTCAAAGTTTGGATCTTTGGAGAAGCCCTGGTCTAAAGGAGCTTCCTTTTTCCTAGTCCCCAAACAGAGAGAGAGAGAGAGAGAGAGAGAGAGAGAGAGAGAAGAGCACTCAGATTGCGTGTGGCCTTGAAACGCAAGACTCTCTCCACTTTTTGCTCCTCCTGTCTTTTTTTATTATTGATGGGAAATTCGAACTTTCCCATTTTTAAACAGTGGCTGATGTTCTATTCCCGTTCTGCCCTTCTCATCCCCCCTCTCTCAAGCTCTCTGCTTTTAACAGATTTTTGAAAAACACCGGAAAAAATGACAGAGACGGGTCAATGAACATAGCCATCTTTGCCAATCCTAGCCAGTATTCTTTAGAAGTGTTGAGCTCTGGTGTCAGTTGTCTGAATACGTAAGCTTTCAGTTCGGAAAGCATCGATCTTTAAGCTTATGTTTGGATGCAGATTCGATTGTCTCTGCCCTCAAGCTTCTGTTTCAATCATGTGCTGCAATAAGCTCTGTAAGCGGAAAGCCGCGCCCTCTGTTTTGGACCATGTTTCCTGGCTGAGATACAACAGAAGCGAACTCCACATCGAAGAATCGGGAATAATATCGTTTTCCACCATTTGTGAGAAGAGCTTCCATGCTTTCTGAGACTCTCCTTTCTCGAGCAATCCATCAAGCAATGGAGCGTAGCTTCCTCCATCCGGAACGCACCCTCTTTCAGCAATGTCTTCCATGAACTTCAAGGCACTCGTTACTTTCCCTTGCTTGCAGAACCCGATTATCAGAGCATTGAATGTTGATGCTTGAGGAGAACAGTCATGGCTGACCATATCATTTACAAGCTCAAGTGCCTCTTCCATGTAGCCTTCTTGAACGTATCTGTGAATCAAGCCATGGAAAACAAGGATATTTGGAAGACTTCCTTCTTCAATAATCTGATCATACACCAACTTTGCATCATCAACACTGCCTTTCTTGCAGAAGTTTAGTATCTTATAGCTCCTGTCAACAGCCCTAGGAAACAATTTCTCCATCCTGGACAGAAACTTCACTGCTTCCTCCCAACGATTCTCCCGGTAAAAGCCATACAAGATACTGTTGTACGGATCGATTCTTCCACCACGAACCCTTAAACTGTCCTGCATGATCTCTAAGATCTTTAAACCGTCATCCACCCTCCCTCCTGCAGACAGCCCACCGATCAACGTGTTGAATGTAGAAAAGTTCCGTATAATCGCATCCGTTTTCATATCGTTGAAACAGTCTAGTGCTGAATCCAACGATCCAATTTCACAAAACCCACGAATCAACGAGTTGTATGTCTCTGTATTTGGCAGACAGCCCTTTCTCTCCATCTCTTTCAAGAATCCTTGAGCAACTCTCGCTTTGCCTAGCGAGCAATAACCCTTTATAAAGGTGTTGCAAGCTACAACATCTATTTTACCGCCCTTGATTTCCACTCTCTCAAGAACATCAAGCGCCTCGGATACTCGCCCTTCATTACATAGAATTTCCATCACCTTAGTCACCGTGACAACATCGGGAACAAGACCTATACTGAAGCAGTTCTCCAACAGGACAAGAGACTGGATCAACTTCTGCTCATTGCAGTAAGCTGAGATCAAGATATTAAAGGTTACATCATTCGGCTCCTTCATCTCACTCATTAAACTCCTGCCTCTCCCGACCTTCCCGTTCTTGCAAAGAGCATGAATCAACGTGTTGTAGATCACAGTGTTTGGAGTAACACCCCGTGTCTTCATGATCTGAAGGAGCTTGAAACCATCACCAATCCTGTTCGTCAAGCAAAGTCCTTTCATCAAAATCCCATATGTATAGTCATCACCCTGAACTCCACTTGCCATCATCTTCCTTCTGAAAAACTCTCTGGCCAAGTCAATGTCTTCCTTGACCAGAACATCCAGAATCGAATTGAAAACACTTAGAGATGGTTTCATCCCAAATCTTGAAACCAGATCAACGACCTTGATCACATGTTTGATCATCCGAGCGCGGCTAAAGCCTCGTATGATGGTGATGAAGATGGCATCGTCAGGAGGCAAACCGATTGAACCAGGCATTTCGTCGAGCAGCTTGTAGACAGTTTCGAAGCGGCGAAAAACACAGAGCTTATGAATGAGGGCTCGGTAGGTGGAACGAGAATGGGTGAAACCCGGAAACTTTGACGCCCAGTCGAAGGTCTCGAGAGCCGCCGAAGCTGTCTTCTGGTCCAATATGAGACGAACCATGTGGTCGTGGCTTGGCGCCGAGAACGAAGACGGTGAGCAGAAACAACGCCTTAGAAGCCATGATCTCGTGGCGGGTATACGTCGAAGCATCGAAAGGTTCAAAATTCTCAGCATCAGAGGCAAATGTGTCAACTTGATACAATTTCAAGCGAGGCAAAGTTCAACGCTTTGTTTTCGGACATAAGAAGAAGAACACGAGTTCCAAGCCCTATTGGCAACAAGTTTCTGTCTTTCATCAAAGAACCATGTATGTTTGAGTTAGCAAGCATCCACTAAATACCCTTCTACCGATCAAACTTTGTGCCTTAATGGCATTTCTTTAATAACAAAATCTTGAGGACATTTTTTGAGTTCTCTGCAATCTTTAGCAAGAGATTCAAGCCTCAGACAGTATTTTCTCGGGACACTTCCCTAAATGTTTATCTGTGTGCTTGCTTACTTGATCAAAGTTCAAAACGATCAAAATCCATTTTCAGAGCAACAGCCATAAACTGTTGTCTCCGATTCTCCACATCCCACGAATGATTAGCTTTTTCAGAGAAATGTGGCAAGGTTGGTGAAAATTATGTCGGAAGCAAGAACCAGTAACCTGCAAGCAAGAGATACAACACTCAATACTATAATCTGAATCTCCATGTTCCCAATTCGAGGGTCTCTTGCCCAACTGCGAAGAAACAATCTCACACTAAGACAATTCTGATCAAAGATCATAGTTATTCCTCTCGAAACCGACATAGCAACACAAAGTTTCCATTTTTTTTTGAGTGTGCAAAGAACAGAACAAAGAGATCTGACAAAAAAACGCAACATTTCATCAGAACCTCTAATCCAAGTCCTTGACGATTTTGATCCCCATGGTATTCGCAGTACCGATAATAGACTTGCAAATGGACTCCAAGGGCATGTACTGACAGAACGGATCCGACTGCTTCACCTTCGCGATCTCGTAAACGTGCCTCACCGACAAGGTCGCCGCCTGAACGTGCCCGGCTCGACCACTCCCTTTCTCGACCCCTGCCGCTTTCTTCAGGTACCACGACACCTTCGGTGACTTCACCGTGAACTCGAACGTGTTGTCCTTGAATGCGGTGATCGTGACCGCCATCGGAGTGTCGGGCTTGTACTTCTGTGTACGGGCGTTGAAGTCCTTGCAAAACGCCATCAGATTCAGCCTGTACTGACCCAAAGCCGGACCCACCGGAGGAGCCGGTCGAGCTCCTCCGGCCGGAACCGTCAGCCGTATCGTCGCCGCCACCGGACGCCGAGTCAGGATCTCCTTCAGAGTCGCCATTGTTGGGGGTTTCGGAGATCGGCTTCTCTCTTCTCAATTTCCACTTTCCAGGATGCAGGGTTTTACGCCTTGAGTTTGGGCCTCTGGATTTGTGCATCTTGATATGGGCCTCCTTGTTTGGGCCTACTTATTTGGGTCTTTGGTTTAGACAAAAGGCCCATTTTAGATTATTGAATTTGGACTAAATCCCGGTTTAACATCGGTTTCGTCATCCCCGCCACCGCCGCAAGTGCATGCCGACGGTGACAGTAACAGCAGAAGCAGCAAGAAGAGGCGGCCGAGCCTGAGGAAGCAGCATCTCGGATCGGTAACATTCCGACATGGACGGAGATATGGGTATGTCGGGAAAGATAAACAGTGAACGACGGGGAACTCGGTCGAAGAAGAGATTTAAGAATCGGTTGCAGGAATCGGCCGAAACTCCAAACCTATCTCTACTGTAAAATTCTCAGCCTTTAGCCTCACTTTCATTCACGTGTATGGTGTGGTATGGGAAATTGGAATTTGTTATAGAAGCAGCGAGATCTGTTCGGTTTACGCTATCTATTTTCTTCTGCTAGTTTCTGTGTTCATCGCCGTATAGTCTTCATGATTTTAAACAAAGCTTCGTACAAATCTTTTGCTTTTTTTTTTTCTTTCTTATAATAGGTTACAAGAAATGCCCATCATTTTACTCTTATCCATGCCTCCTTATCGGCAAAAACGGCAGAGCGCCTTACACAGCTTGTGCTTAAATGTCTCCAAACAGATGGGAAGAGAATGGAATATGTTTCTTCACTGTCTCTGAATAGCAAAAGAACCAGAATCTTGTTGTGTCTAGAGAGAGTTGCAGGTTCTCTAGGATAACAAGGAGAGGAAGATTGTGGACCAAACAGTGAGGGCCAGAGCTGCAACTAAGTATGTCCATAGTAAGAGAACGGAGCACTCGTCTTGTCCCACATTGAACAGCTGTGTCATGGTACCTGTATCATTATCCCTCCCACGTTATCAAAGCTGTATCCTTTACAAACTTATCAAAAGAGTTACATGAATTGGCTGGCTGGGACTGACCGATATTCATGGCAGGTGGGACGGTAAACTGAAGCATCAAAGCATATTGAAACAAAGGATCTTCCGGGAGAAACCCGAGAATCTCAGCTGTTTTGACAACCCCTATACCGATAGCTGGGAGAATTATGTACCGAACACAGACAATCCCGGCTATTACAGGGGGTTTGATGGCTGAAGAACGTAACCCTTGTTGATTCAAAACCGCAACAGTCAATAACAGTAAAGGGTAAGTTTCTTCTTCTTGAAACAGAAAGGGAGTAGTTGAGCTGGTGTGATAAGGGTTTTACCTTGTAAGAGGTTGCCTCCAAGTATAATTGTCATGCCAGGAATCGTGCCATCTCTGCACATTCGATATCATTTATCAATTAACAGATGAAAATTTAGAATCAAGGCTGGGTTATGAACGAGATGATTACGATAACTACCCGAGTATTTTTGCTGTATCTTGGATTACTCGCAAAGGAGCATTGTCACCAATTATAAGATTTCTGAGCTGCACAACTGCACCGAACAGGAAACCAATCATCTGAAAGCAACAAAGTTGCCACCTTTAAGTCCTTGTTCGATCTTCGCAGTAAACTGTTAGTTTCAAACTAAGCGTTGCCGTGCTTTTTTTCTGTAAAAATGCACTCACAGCGCCAACTGTAGGTGGTGCAAGTAGCTCCTTCAGAATCTGCTGGAGGAACTCTAATCCCTTTCTCCAAAAGCCCTTTTCTTCCTCTTCCTTGACAGAGTCTTTTCTCACGGCATTGCTGCCTTCAGGTGAATCGAGGAGGCGGGTTTTGAGGTCAGACTCTAAGTCAGTATTGGATGGTTTGATTGCCGCCTCTTCAGATTCCTCAATGGCTTTGAATGTTGCAGCTGAACCTTTTATCAATCGGAATGTGTAAGTCCATATGTAGAAACCTCCTAGCTGCAGAAGCCACATATCGATTTGATTCACTCATTTTTCTCCTCACCCTCATAGTTACTTTGTTTTTTTACAGGAAAGGAGAACCATCATAATACATACCGCCATAGAGAAAGACGCGTACGAGAGTCCAAGGCTTCTGCAAACACTCCGGTTCCCGAAAGGACTCTTGTCCTCGCTGCAGATTGCCGGGACAAGTATTACTGGAAGGTTTCCCATGTTTCCTTCACCAGGAAATCATCGCCACAAGAAAACTGAGTGAGTACAGCTCCATCTTTCTCAAACAGGATCTAACATCAATCTCTATATATCCTAGGCATCACGGTTCAAATCCTGTTTCATTGCTCATGATCAAAGGATTTTATCCAGACATGTATGTTCTTGTTGGTTTTGTAGGGATTTCGATACCTGAAGAACAAGCAGCGATGACCAGACCTTCGAGATAAGGCACGGGTTTCAGAAGCTTAACAAGAATCCAACCAAGAATTCCTCCGATCAGGAAGGTAAGCCCCATGTTCACCGGCATAAACCACCTAATAATTTTATTTTTTTAAACCACGAATAGATACGGTCAAGCAATCCCTCCTCTCATGGTTTCCTCCATTAAAACCGACCAGTGAAGAAAGAGAGGCAGAACCTCGAGAGTTTACCATGATACCATGTCCTCGAGCGTGACCGTCTTTGCCAGATTAGCAAACATGAGGCAAGGCGCAAACGCTACAAACACTACCTACATTCATGATTCAAACTTTTTGTACTCAACCCATATTTCCAGAGATTCAGCATCAAACGATGAAGAGAGTAGAGACAGGTTGAGGCGTACCTTGTTCATGGAGTTGCGAGCTTCTACTGTGAGAAGTTTGCAGTAATCAGCCGCCATGAAAGCTCCCACAAGGCTCATGATCAGAACTTGGATCACTGGCATGGAAGCCACCTCTAACAATGACCAGAACCCCATCCCTTTTTATCTTTACAACCTTGGAGAAGAAGAAGACGAATAACTATGTGAAGAGAGCAACGTACGAAGTGCACACACGCATTCAGATTTCAGACATATATATATGCGTGTGTGTGTGTGTGTATATATAAAACCTAGAAGGAAGTGATGCATAGATACACACGCATTACGAATAATTTGAGAACTTTTTTGTTCCACGTGAAATTTCAATGATAAGGTGAGACATATGACATCAAGTCATTTCGTGGGGATTGTATTTTCTAATCAAAGGGATAAAAGATTGAGCAAGTTGCATCTTTGGTTTCTTCTTTTAAATTAAAAGTTTTTAAAAAAATGGAAAATGAGATTTAACATTTCATTTGATAAAGATACGGAAATTTCAATGCGTTATCCACGAATGTGATGTATTTGTGTATATACAATTGACAAACATATATACACCCACACCCACATGCATACATGCAAAGCTACGTGTGTGTACGTAGAATTTGTAAATGGAGATGAATCTATACGTACGGATGCAGAATCATAAGGATTTTTAATTTGATTTAATTAGTATTAACGAAAAGTGATGCAGATAAATACGTTTTCGTGTACTCATGCAGATGAGATGGAGAAGAGAACAGGAACAAATCCAGAAACCTGATGATGAGAGATCGATCGAGACATCTAAATATATAATCACATGTACATGTATGTATACATACATACATACATATATATATTGAATACACGCACGTTTATATGTCCTAAAACACAAACATATTTGTATACAAGTACCTCAACCATGCATGAACCTCAGACGATCTCTCTCTCTCTCTCTCTCTCTCTCTCTCTCTCCCTCCCCCTCG